AGGGCTGTCATTTTGGCTTGTTGTTCGTGAACAACTCGTGTTCGGCTCGTTAAACAGCTCGTGTTCGGCTCGTTCGTTAAGCCTAACGAGTCGAACACGAACAACAGTTTGTTCGCTCATGTTCGGCTAAACGAGTCAAACACGAACAGCTCTTTGTTAGCTCGTGTTCGTCGTTTTAGCTCGAAATAAAAAAAAAATTATATAATTATTTATATATATAAATATTACATATATTATTTATATAATAATATATTTTTTTTTGTATAAATTTGTTCCAGGTTCGAATCCCACACTTTACTTCTATTTTTCTCAATTTTAGTTTAACGAATCAATTTCAAGCCGAACACGAGCAGAACACGAACACAAATATTTAAATCGTGTCGAACACGAAAACACTGTTCACGAGCTGATCTCGAACACGAGCCGCTTTTGAACACGAGCTATTTCGAATGAGCCGAACACGAGCCAAGCCTGAGCTCGCTCAAGCTCGGCTCTTTTACAACCCTAGTCCTCACCAAAATGCAAGGAATTGTGGAATTTTAGGGAATCATAATCTTTGCACTGACCATTAAATTTTGTTAGTGCAGAAAACTTGTGGATAGGATGCAACAACTTGTGGGAGTAATTGCAATCCTTGCATCGATCCTCAAAATTACGTGAGTGCAGAAAATTTGTGGAAAGACATGTAGAGAATTTGTGGAATTTTAAGGAATCAGAATCCCTGCACCGATCTTTGAATTTCATGGATATGAAAAATTTGTGGAAAGACAATAAGAGAATTTGTGGAATTTTAAGAAATCAGAATCCCCGCACATTTCCTTGAATTTTGTAGATGTTGAAAATGTGTGGAAATACAAGCGATGATTTTGTGAAATTTTAAGTAATTGAAATCCCTACACCGTTCCTTGAATTTTGTGGGTGCAAAAAATTTGTGGATTTTTTAGGAATTGGATGTGAAGGAATTTTAGACAGCTTCAAAACTATGAATCCTCCATACTACAACACACAAGGAGGATTCCTAGTTATGAGTCTAGTCATAGTTGACAGATACAACATTTTTAGAACGATGAAAAGCCATTAACATCTTGACCAGGGACTCTATTCTTAAAATTTTGGTTATTCTACCTATAGAATTGAATTTGATCATTCAAATAAAGAAAATCCTTCGAGATATATGGCAGTCACAAAAAAAAAACTCCACCAGTAATCAATGTGAATCTAGGAGATATGCATGTTTCATGTAAGAGCAGTTTAACTCACCATGCAAATTCTCCAAATCAGGGAGATATCAACCAAAAATTCACAAAGACTAATGAGGCTTGCATGTATATATATCTATATGAACTGACAATGCTCTCATGCAGACAATCCTTGAAATATATTTTGTGTATGCATAATCTGTTCATTTATGTGATTCTTTTCAGAATGTATAAGTTAGAACATAGATTGAATTTGTTACAAAATTAACGTAGTAAGATATTCAATTAAATTTATCAAAAGTGAACCCATTTAAAATCTATCACATTTCATGCAAGCATCTAATTCTCTTAGGAATTTCATCATTCAACCTATTATGTTGTTATTAGAAAAAAAGATTAAATGCATTGATTCATTTTAAAGTGAAATTATCAATCAAGATATATGGACGAGGAGATGAATTTTTTTTTTAAGATAACACTTATTCGAAATATGGCTTTTCAACACACAGCCGGGAAGCACGCTCATATGTAAGATTGAATGATGTTTATGTAAATTCCATTCTCTATGCTTTTCCCTAAGTCATGCTAATCAAATCACATTGGACTAATGTTTCATGGCATTTGGGTGGTTCAAAACAAATGGAAAGAACTATGTAAGAAGATGCAGTATCTTCCTTAGTGATTTTGGCTAGGAAGTTGATGAAAGATGAGAGCTCACTTGCAGATTTTTTCTAAGAGAGGAAGAAGCTATGCAAATTTTAGCCAAGAGAGGGGACGGGTTTGAAGCTTTTGAAAATGAGTGAGGGAGAGGGGAGATCTCAATTAAGAGAGGAAGAAGCTTGGGGGTTTCGACTGGAGTCTAAGGAGGGAGCCAAAACTCTACCTGTGCATGCAAAGTTTGAAGCTTTTGAAAATGAGTGAGGGGGAGGGGAGATCTCAATTAGGAGAGGAAGAAGCTTTGGGGTTTCGACTGGACTCTAAGGAGGGAGCCAAAACTCTACCTGTGCATGCAAGATCTTCGTACAACACTAAGACATTAGTATATCACTCTACCACAATAAATTTACTAGCACATTATAAGGTTGAAGTTGAGCTGACAATAATGATGATATTTGTTAGCTTTCTCAATGATAAATGCATGTTTCACTTAAAAAAGCTAGCAACACTCCTCAAGCCTTAGAGCTATTAATATTTGGACTTTACACAAGGTGAAAACTCACTTGATTGTGCAAATGCTTTATGAAACTTTTTTCTATTCAATTGGTTGTCATCACACACTTATAACTATCAACGACACAACAAAAATGTAACTCCTTAAAGATTGAAAAGTAACTTTTGTTTATCCTTCATAATAAATCATTAAATAAAATGTAAGAACTCACTTTGCATAACGTTATGAAAGGTATTTATATAGTCAAGTTTTTAAAAATTAATTGAGGATGTTGAGTTAGTTGAGCAACAAAGAGATGATGAGTTATACTAGCAACAAAAAAAAAAAAAAAAAACTTGAGGAGGAAACTTAAACCTCTTATGCATATATTAAGATGGATTAGCAATGTGTTATTGATTTTATGATTTACGACCACCATCCCTATACTTTTCATTCTCTTATAGGAGTGAAAGAATTTGAATTTGATTTGTTTTCATCATATGCACAAAAACTTATATGGATAGCCCTTGAATCTTTCTTCGTATTAGAAACAAAAGTCCATTATTATGGATATAACTTATATAATTCAACAAATTGATGTCATTAAAATACCAAAATTTTATTCTTATCATTACGGTAAAAGATAATTTTAGATGCTAGACTTGCATGATGATCTTACAAATATTGATAAGAGAATAAAATACAAAAACAAAAAAAAAAAAAAAAAAAAAAAAAAGGGTTTTTAAATTAAAAATTTAAAAAATTTAGAAAGTAAAAAAAATATGACGGTAATAATAGATGGAATAAATCATTATATTAATATGAATTACAAAATTTTATTTTTTTCTTATATTGCAAAAATATGATATTATAAAATATAGAACAAAAACTTGATTTATTTTCAATGTAACTAAAGATATTAGAGAAGTATTAAAGTGTACTGAATATAGTTTATGGAGATTGTATAATATTAGTTAGATGATTACAATCAGGAAAAAATAATTAGACAATGATATTCGGGTGATAAAATTTGAATGATTACGCATGAATAGTAATAAATGGTCGACAACGATTAGATGATGACAATCATATATTAATAGTTACTGGCAATGATTGTTTGAGTAAAATACCGGTCGTAGCTATAGTTTATCGTGTTTTTAATCTCCCTCTTTGTTAATTCAAGCCTCTTTTAGATAAATGTATGATAGTTTATTTGTAAATTTGTATGACTAATATTTTAGTCATTTCATTTATTCCGAAGCACTTTATCGGACTTCCTAGAGATATTTTTTTTATTATAAATCATTCAATCAATATTTCTATATATTAATGATCTTAGAATTGTGTGATATTAGGCTTATTCGATTTTTCAAATCGAGTTGCTTGTTTTGACTAAAAATATGTTAAATATGGTTATTATTTAATTATTCTACTGATGCCCAGAGCTTTTAATCACATTTCAAATACTTGATTTGAGCTTATATGAATCCATTTTTTTTTCACTTATGGTGTCATTAGATTCATCTTATCTAGTCATTTAGTTCCTTTAAAGTTTTTAAAATTAGAATTCAATTAGCATTGAATTTAATTTATGAAGTTTTCAATTTAAACTCTATATTAAGATTCAAGATTAATAAAATGAATTTCTAATGACGTATCAATTATCATTTACCTTGAAGCATAATAAAGTCTATGGCTATTTTTAAATTCGAAATAACATTGAATCCAATTTTGATATGGAATAATGAAGGTCTTAAAAAAGCAATATATAATTAAGTTTAATGAAAGTGATTGCTATGAGTATGAGCTCCCTCTTAAGAAAAAGAAAAGTTAATAAATATGGATAGTAATTTAATTGATTTCCATAAAAGGATGGTATTTAGCCTTACTACTTTGATTTCTTAAAATTTAGGAAATATTTTTAAAATGTAGGATTTATATACACTTTATTCAGTCTTTTTATCTATTTATATATCTAACATTTAAATGCTTATAATTATTTTTTTTATAACATTCATTGTCAACATTACATCAAAATATTACACCAAAATGTATTTTTTTTACTTCACATAAATGAACATTAGCGATAATTTTTATTTGATTTGAAGATTAAAACACTTCCTATAGAAAAATAGAGATGTAGTTGCTTGAAATGATGCATAATAATTCGATGATATGTACAACATAGTTAAAATTTATTAAATTACATTTCTAGTATAAGTCTTCTTATTAAATGACTCAATGAACTCTCCTATAAATACTATTACTAATCTTAAAATAAAACAAATTCTTCATTTTAAATTTAAAATTATTTATGGCTCATTTGGCATCCCTTTTATTTTTATTTTTTGCTTTTATTATTTAAAACATATTTTATTAGTATAATTTTCACATGTTCTTATTTTTTATTTTTAAAAATAATTTATATTATTTCAAAAAATTAAGTCTTTTGGGTGTTAAAAAAATTACATCAAAGTATATTTTAATTCAAGTCAAAATATTAAAAAATATAAAATTAATATAAATAACAATTTCCAACTACTTTAAAAACAAATAGATAATCCAAATGTACTCATATTTTATTTTCTATACGCCAACATGCATAAATTTGCGCTTATTAGTTGATATCTCAAGTTTTCTCTGCGGAAAATGATTAAAAAAAAAAAAGGGATGGGGCCTCGGCGTAGACCTTAAACCCTTCTCTTCTTACCCTTCATCCATTTCCCAATGCCGCCCGTCGACCCCGCCCGTCTTTACGCAAAACCCTAGGCCGTCCTCCTGCTCAGCTCACCATTACCAGCAAAGCCATACCAACACCAGATTTGATCTCAGCATACTCGACACCTTCCCTTCTACAAGACTGTTGGCGGATTAGTCTCCTTCCTCCGCTCGATCTGCGACGCAGAAGCTGCTTTCTTCCTTCGCACTGTTGTTCATCCGCGCAACTGGTAAGGAGTTTTCTCCTTTGCAAACCTAAAAGCTGAAAATTTGTTATATTTTTCTCTTTATTTCAGATGTTCCTTTCTGTTTGTTGATAAGGTCCAGATCTTGGAAAACGATTGCATATAGACTTGATTGCGCAGCCAAGGTGTGAAGATTTTATCATCTAAGGGATGATCTTCAAATTCTGTTTATTTTTCCTGTCAGTCTATGTGCCAGGGCTAGAATGCTTGATGGGTGTAATGATTTTGTGAATTTAAGATGTCAACTGTTCTAGAATCCCTTGGTTTAATTTAATTAACATATCTATTTTATTTTTAAGAAATTAAAGGAATCTTATAGTGGATATGATTACTCATGCAAATTGCATTGGATCATTAATTGGGGCTCTTATGTTAGCATGCGTGTCATAGGATACGTAGCTGTTTCATCATGCTGAATATGTTTGCCTGCCATCTTAAAATAACTTGATTTGTTTTTTTGTTAGCTCAAAATTGTATCCTGCTCTTTTTTTGACCGTTTATTTTTGATGACTAATTGAATTACTTCAATAAGAAAACCTTCGCATGATTAGTTGATTTTTTTAGATTATTTCATTTGCGTATTATAGTGCTTTCTTCTGCATATGGTGGTGTTTGCTTGTATTAACTGAAAAAAAAAAGATTTTATTTTATTCTTTATTGTATGTAGTTCTGGCCTGCATTGGTTTATGGTATTTAGGTAATGGCTAAGTAAACGTGGAGCATCATTTGTTTATTTTCTTAGATTATTTTATTTGCGTATTATATAGCCTTCATGTGCATATGGTGCTTGTTCGTTATAACTGAAAAAGAAAGATTTTAAAAGTTGTTTTTTTTTTTTTTGGTATGCAGTGTTGGCCTGCATTGGTTTATGGTATTCTGGTAATGGCTAGGCAACCAAGCCCTGAAATAGATGATGAGCTTTTTAATGAGGTTTATGGAAAAGAATATACTGGCCCTATGCGATCAACATCTAATAATGCAGAGGCTAAAGCTAATGCAAACAAGAGACCCTTAACTAATGACCATTCGGATGAGGAAAATGATTCTCGAGATCCAAATGCTGTTCCGACTGATTTTACTAGCAGGGAAGCTAAGGTGTGGGAGGCAAAAGCTAAAGCTATGGAAAGAAATTGGAAGAAAAGGAAAGAAGAAGAAATGATTTGCAAACTATGTGGAGAATCCGGTCATTTCACTCAGGTATTTAAGAGATTAATTTTCTTCTAGTGATACATACTTTAGTGATTCTTTTTTTCAACAAAACGGTGTAATGGAAGTTTTAAAGTATCATTTACAGTTCCATGTTTTCTGCTTTTGCAATACTCTTTTCTTCTTGCTGTTAGCTAGGCTTCATTGTCAGGAATAATTTATAGAAAAATTGGGATATATGCATACAATTAATGATAGATAATGATGAAGATGTAGCTTACGAAGTTTGAGTTGAAAGATGGAGCTCTGCAAACTAAATCAGTTTTGAAAGGAGAGTTGGTGATGAATGCAATGCCAATGCGACGGTATGAGATTTATTGTAGATGCACTGCGAGATTAGAGTAAGAAGCAGCAATACATCTCATTGGGAGAAACAAAATCACAAATTTGCTTGAGACGGAGGATATGATTATTTCTCAGGATATGGCTTAATATTGGAATTTTGCTTTGGTGGGGTGGGGGAGGGGGGTTAGGTCGATGCCCCAATAAAATTGAAGTTGGTGGTTATGATCTATAAAGTGAAGCATCGAAAAAGTCCCGCCAAACGCAACCCTAATGTTTTTAAGAGCCAATTATAATTTTTTTTTAATAAATAGTATTTCAAAAAATATTTAAATTATATTTATATTTTTTCCATAATTAATACAAATTTTTAATGATTAATAAAAGGGAAATTCTTCTCTTAAATACATATCATTAAACTCATGGTCCATTGTGGTAAGGGTAGGCATGTCAAATAACAAGAGAAAGCAACCAAACAATAATTTCCTCAAAATAAGAATATATATCATTTGCTTATTTTTGCATCATTAGTGCTAGTGTTTTCGAACAGTTCAGACTACTTTATTAATAACTTTTTGCGGCATTTTTTTACGAGTAATTTGGATGCTATGCTTGATGTTGATATGCATTGCTCAAATTTGGGGAACCCGTGGGTCAAGTGTGCCCTCTTCTTTCTCTAATTACTATTTGAACAAATGAAATTCAACTTTTGCTATTAGCTCCCTTGACTTGCTATTCTGATGGTTAGGGGTAGGGGTGTAAACGAACCGAACATGAACGAACAGAGCTTGTGTTCGTGTTCGGTTTGTTTGAAATTTAGTTTGTTTGAAATAAGCTCGTGTTCGAAATTGTTCGTGAAGTCACTGTTTGTGTTCGTTTCATAATGAACGAGCCGAACACGAGCTGTTCGCGAACGTCAAGCCAGTTTGACATCCCTAATATTAATATATATAAATAATATATTATATTAATTATATAACTTATATTATATAAATATATAATATCTATATTAGTTTATTCCTAATATAGTATATTAATATATTATTATTATTATTAAATTATTATATATTATAATTTATAAAATTTAATTTTTTAAAATATCATAAATTTTTTATATATAACTATTTTAAATTATTTTATATTTCGAACAATAAGGATTCAAACACAAATGAATGCATCACTGTTCGTGTTTGGTTCGTTTAACTAACCGAACTTGTTGCGAACAACGAGCTTTTTTGACAGCCCTAGTTAGGGGTGTAAACGAGTCAAACCCGAGCAAGCCCAGGCTTAGCTCGTGTTCGACTTGTTAAAAAAATTCTGTTCGTGTTCGACTCGTTTATATTTCGAACACAAAAAGTGTGTTTGTTGTGTTCGACTCGTTTGCTTAACGAGCCGAACACAAGACGTGCGCGAAGAAAGAATCATTTTGGCAACCCTAATCACGTAGCCGTATGATGTTAAGGGTTGGGAGAAGATTTGATTCTTGTTGTTTATATTAAAACATCATTTAAATATAATTTAATATATTTTTATTCTATTTTTTTAACTAATAATTTTAATTGATTATAAATCTTTGTAACGTTGTATTCAATTAATTTTTTTAAAAATACTATTCAGCAATTTATATATATATATATAGGCATAGATATAATGAGTAGTATTTTGAGCCAAAACGAGTCGAACACGAATGAACAAATCCTTGTTCGTGTATATCGAGCACAAAAAAAATGTTCGTGTTCGGTTCGTTAACCTAGTGAATGAATCAAACACGAGCTGAACACGACTGTTCGCAAGCAATGAGTGATTTTGACAGCCCTACTGTTGTTCCCTCTCAGAACTTCACAATTTTAGTAATGCTTCTTTATGATTGTTATAGTCCGGCCTAATTAGAATTGTTTTTAATGATAATGTAGATACATGTGTGAATTAATCTGTTTTCTTTAACATGGCTAATGTGTTATTCAATCTGTTGTTATTGTTGAAACCATTTTGTTTTCCGAATTTTTTTTATTTTTTTGAAGGATTGACTATTTTCCACCTTCCAAACTTTCGTCATCCATTTCTTACAGGGCTGCCCTTCCACACTTGGAGCTAATCGCAAGTCTGCAGACTTATTTGAAAGGGTACCTGCAAGAGACAAGAATGTGAGAGCCCTTTTTTCTGACAAGGTGATAAGTCAAATTGAGAAAGATGTTGGCTGCAAAATAAAAATGGATGAGAAATTTCTATTTGTTAGTGGGAAAGACAGATTAATACTCTCTAAAGGTTTAGATGCTGTGCGCAAAATAATTCAGGAGAAGGACAAAAACAAGAGTCCTCCTAGTAGATCTGACACTAAATCAGAAAGGGCAAGGTCCAGATCACGTGATAAAAGTCCTGTAGGTTCTCAATTAAGACGCTCTGAGTCCCAGAAGTCCCGTTCAAATATAGGAAATTCCATTCATGTGCATAGCAAGGGATATGAAGATAATGTACGGGAAGATCTGTTAAAGTTGTCAAGAGGTTCTTCACAAGGTAGGGCCTTATACTGTTCAACTTCAACAGGAAATGTACTATCGCATGATTTACCTTGTCCAAATGAAAGAAAGTTTTAATTGTGTTTGTTTGCAGGAAGAGGTAAGTTTAAGCTGTCAGTTAATGAAATGATTTCTTACATGGTTCTCGACAGACGGTTCATCTGGGATAAAATGTATTGAAACATTTCCAGATGTATATGGTTGGATGGCTATTTCAGTATTCCATATAGCATTATTGCTTGTGTAGGATAGTCTATTTAAATCATCACTTTAAGTTAGACATCTGGAATTAAAGTGTGGTTTTTCTTACCCTGTTCTTCATTTCACGAAGCTTACACTAATGATGGAGCCAAAAGTCATCCTGCCTCTACCAAATCTCCAATGCGCTCTACTGGTTATGGTGGTAATTCCTTCAGTTCATATGATGAACAAAACCTTAACAGTGGTTTGCATAAGCGTAGTGGTTGGGATGTGGGAAAGTCTGAAATTGATTCCCTCTATGAGCACAAATCTGACATCTCAAATTATCCACAAACCTTGGAAGAGCTAGAAATGGATTTTAAGAGGGAGATAAATGATTTAGGAAGAGTTCGTGATAAGGAAGAGGATGAAGAGATTCACAAGCACAGAGAGGTAATATTTGGAATATTTTTTATTTACAATTTTTTTTAATAACTTTTGCACTATTTAAAAAAAAAAAAAAAAAAAAAAAAAACTCCGATTTCCTCACTGCCTGGTTCCAAAAACTTTATACATTGGAAGTGCCAAGCTATTTGTTCAGTTTCTCTGTCTCTGTGATCCTTTTATCACGCTGTTAGCAATTTTTTTATGAATTGTAATAGGTTAGTTTCAGTAATTTATAATTCCTAAAATTAAAGGATGGTTATTTCTGGTAATTATTGTATGAAGTTTTTCTTGGTTTCTTATTAATTTTATTGTGGAAAAGTAAACACACACACACATGAAGAAAGCAGCAATACTTGTCTGGATGTTGTAACTAATTAATAGAAGTTATAAAAGATTTGTGAACCCAGATTCACAAAGTGCTTGAAATGTCTTGTGTTTAAAATTTGCATCCATACGACATGCACTGTTTTGTCTATGTCTAATTGAAGTCGGCATTTTTTTTTACTTAATTATTGCTTTCAGAGTTTTAGTGGCTCAAAGCAGGCCTATGAAGGTCCCTATATAACAATTTAGTTCTCTGTTGCTTTCTATTGGTTTAGTGTATATTTAGAATATTGTTTGCTCAAAGACAACTTATTGGAGAGTGTAGGATTAGGAAGAAGTGAGGATGGACAACTATAGGAATAACTTATAGAAGATTTTATAGTTTATTGCTCGTTAGAGATGGAAGATATGCAAGCTATGAGTGGTAAACATTAGGATAGGAAAGCAAGAGGTACATGAATCCATGACAATAGGAAAAAGCTGGAAATCTGAAGGCACATATTCAACAAGCCTTAGGAGATTTTTTTAATTGTAATTATTACTCTTTCTAAAGGCATCTAGGTAGCTTTATATATAACTACTCCTTGAATGTATGATAAATTAAGAAAAGCTTATCCACAATCCTATTTTCTACATGGTATTAAGACACTAGGTTGGGATTCCAATGTTTTGACCTATTTATCCTAATTTCCCCTTTTCTTAGTATTTTCATCTTTGTGAGTTTTTGATTTTTCCATAAAAGTGTTAACTATCATAAATGATGAGAATTTGAGCAATCCTATTGAAGGAGAACTCTAGGATTCACAAATCTCATATCATTTGAATGTAGAAAATTATCCAAAGTGATGTCATATTATGAAAATTTCCTAAGAGGAAAATAGTAACTAAACTTATTGATCATTTTGATCCTGAAGACCCAAAATCCATACTTCTTATTAAAGGAGGCTTTATTATCATGTCATGACTATGGAACTCTATTATGCCTAATGTTAGTGGACCTTGTATGTTCCTGCAATAATAAATGAACTGTGGGAAGCTATGAGAGTGACATACTCAAAATTTTGTATGTTGCCATCACAAATGAGATTAAGATACATCTATTAACCTCTAAACAAGGTAACTTATAGGTTATTGAATTTTTTAATGTAATGCAGATTTTTGGTTTGAATTATTCTCAAAATCTCAAAATGAAATGTAGTGATGATATTGTGTTTCTAAAATGTTATGGAAAAAAGGAAACGATCTTTGAAATGGGTGTCAAACACGCTGAGTCATTTGAAAAATCAGGGTTTGAGTTGACCAAAATACTTTTTGGATCATATTTGGGTTAGAAATTTGAGCTGATTTGATTTTTTTCAGTCGGATTTGGGTTGACCCACTAACTTGAAATGGAATCAAAATCAATCTGATATTCAAAATTGACTCCAAATTTACTCAAAATTGATTCGAATTTGTTTTGTATACCTATATGCTTTATGTTAAATGAGCTATATGTGTCAGGTTTGGGTTAGCATGGTGGGGGCAGATCGGATTCAATATGGACTTTTGATCCATTTAATATTTTGGGCGAGTTAGTTTTTCAAGCCAGATGATAACCCTATACACAAACCTAATTTGCACCCTTATCTTTGAGTTTTGCATCTCAATTAAGAATTTAATCAAGTTCATATCTAAATCTTGGGCAAATAAACATATCTTCTCTTCATGTGGCTTCCCTTATACAAATTGAAGAAAGAAGTACTATAATGTTTGACACCCGAAACAGAAGGGTCAACTATAGTAATCACAAAAACTCAAGGTAGAGGATTGATAGCCATTGAACTTTTTAAAGAATGGGTATTAAAAAAAATGAAAACTTATGGAAGGCATCCAAGCTGTGATGGGAATAAAGGATGTCAATCGAAAGGACACTCATTTATAAAGACTTTTGGATTCAACTTAGAAGAAATATATAAGTAATTAATCTTATTAGCTCTTTAGTAAAATCATATGGGTTGTTGTCTTTAGCTCGAAACGACTAAACCCGTAATCTGTGTCTGTAATGCTTCAAATAGTTTCTCCAATTTTTTGTTAATAAATTTAGGGTGCCACTAACCACATGACAAATTATGCCAATATCTTAAAAGCCTCGTCCTAGCAATTGAAAGGTCAAAGTAATTGATGACTTCTTAACCACAGTTGTACGACGAGAATGCCATTATTTTCCCTTCACTTACCCCAACAATATACTACATGCCTTTTATTTTGTTGTAAATATCTTTATATATTCATAAAGTAACCCATGATCAAAATTGGAAGTTGACATTCTCAACTTATTATTATGTATTTAGGATTTACTACACGGAAGTTGACATTGGGCAAGCTAGATAAAAAGAGGAGTTATATCTGAGTACAACAATGATTATAACAATCGTTCATTAGGTGAAGGTTATCTTAATTCTGACTTGTTTGATTAATAGAATGACTTCTATATATTATGATTTCAAATTTTGCAAATTACCTCACTGAATATTTTTCTAAGAGATTACAATAAATTTTTTTTTCAAAAATATATGGTTGTTTTATGTACACATTTGTAAGCAACAGGTTAAGTTTGACCCTAGAGCATTTGATTTGCGTTTTATTAGGATATAGACTCTTAAAAGGGGTATAAATATACTTATCAAACCCTCAATCCCTCAAAAAAAATGAAAAGGCAAAACCTAAAACTTGCCGCAATTGATGAAAAACAGCCCCTCCCCCCAACAACAACAACACACACACACACAAACCCTAAAAAAAAAAATGAAAAGAAATCTTAAAATTTGCGGTTGATGAAAAATAGCCCTTCTTTGGTCAGCCGTTTCTTTTGGGGAGACAATCACATATGATATAAGTTTGATGAACGTGATATTTTTATATTGTTTGTTCATTAACAAATATAAATGAAATAGATCAACTTAATCCACTAAGGTTAATACTTCATTTACTAAACCATTTTTGGGCTATATAAGGACAAAACCCATCTAAACTCACGTGCAAGTTCTGCACTTGAAATCAGTATCCGATAACTACTTAAAAATGATTTTGATTAGCCTATTATCATATAAAAAGACGCTAAACATTTTCTATTCCCCATAACTGAATACACATCCCTTTGAAAAGCGTAATTCCTACCTATCAAGTCTTCTTTACTAGTTATTAATACCATTTACATTTCACAAGCCCTGTTTGAGGTATTAAGGAACAAGAATTAGAGAAAAGCTGTTCGAGAAGAGATGAATGTTCTAGAGAAAAATTACATTTGGGAAATAGCTGTTACCTAAATATAAATGGGTTGTAGTGTGTAAGGTGGTTTTTACAATAAAATATAAAGCTGATGAGAGCTTAGGTTACTAGAAAAATAATACGCTCAATCATATAGAATAGGTTATCAAATAATATTTGCTATAGTTGCAAAAATGACTGTAATTTGTATACTTTTTTCTGTGGTTGAGTACTTTGGATGACTCACGGAACAAAATGACGTAAATAATGCATTTTTCTATGGTGATGTGAAAGACATTTTTAGGCATTCTTTATTAGGATTCAATAGCTCATTTTTAAAAAGGACCAATTCTGTAAACTAAAAAAGGCACTATATGTATTAAAGCAATCTATTTGGCCATGGTTTAAAAGATTCACAAAATTTACAAGTGGAGCGCATTATAGACAAAATCAAAGAGACCATAGACCATTCATGAAACTTTTAATTGAAGGGGAAATGGCAATTCTTAGCATAGATGTTAATGATATGATTGTAATAGGTTATGATGGAGAAACAGAGTCACTTTGGTAATCGCAATATATTAGCCTTGTTAAGTTGACATAAAAAAGGGGGAAAAAACTAATCAAATTAAAATAAGTGATGTTGAAGTTGCTCAATTAGAAAGAAAGATATTTATCAGAAACCAAAATGTGTTATAGACCTATAGTGAAAATGAAGATGGCAGATTGCCAGTTATGTGAAACATCAACCTAAACCCTAAATAAGCTTTTCATTCTCCAATTTAATATAAAAACTAAATATTCATATGCTTAATACTTCTATTTTTACTATAAAAAAAGAGCCCACAACTTTTTTTGCCATCCTTAAATTTAGAGAAATCCATCAATCACAAAATATTTAAGCACTTGCTTTTCCTGATGCCTCAGCTTTGAAGAGAGAATGGCTTGGATGGGGTAGTTGCATTTTTATTTGTTTGAGATTAACGAGGGTGAAATGAGTAGTTAAAGGGTTAACAAGGAGAAAGGATATGTCAACAATGTAACACGAGCAAATGAGGGGAGGGGAGGGGAGGGTTAGGGGTATAAAAAATTGCCCAACACCTCAACTTGACTCGAAAAATTTGAGTATGAGTTGAAAATTAATTTTTGGTTGGGCTTAGGTTAAGAATCCCAGCACATATGATTTTTTCAGGCCGGGTGTGGTTGACACGCCAACTCGATTTTGAGCGAATTTGATCCGACAACTTAAATTTGACTCAAATAACTCTACTCTCGCCCGAAATTGACCCGAATAAATGTTAAGCATATGTTTGTAAACCGGGTTTAGGTCAAATAGTTTTGTGCTGGACCCAAACCTTGGACCTTGGACTTGATTTGACACCCCTATTGTCAGTTGAGATGGTACGTCAAGTGGTTCAATGGGAGTTCTTATAAAAATGAGGGATGATACTCGTGAGGTGTCACAAAGATAAGGGTTTTGATAGTAGGAAAACGACAAGAAACAATTGAGGATATAATGGTACTTATTGAGGTGCTTTTTTGTTTAATTGTGGCGTTGTTCTTTGTAGAAAAGAGGTATGGGTGGAGAGTGTTGAAGAGGGGATGCCTATTCTTTTACTTCTACTCGGTATAGTTGATTTCAATGCCTTGTAAACTTGTTATTGACATGCAGCGTTTGTAATACAAAATTTGTTATTGGCGTGCCATCTTTTAATTCCAACAACAACATTAAAAAAAAAAAAAAAAATGCTGACTTTATGACATATAAAATAGCAAAATAGTTAACCAAAAAAAAAAAATAAATAAAAAAAAAATAAAAAATAAAAAATAAAAAATAAAACTGCTGACTTTATGACATATAAAATAGCAAAATAGTTATTCTTACAACATTTTTGTTGGGAAAAATCTACTTGTTGCGAAGTAATTAATGAAGAGACCATGCACAACGAGAATATCCCGATATTCTACTAAAATAGTGATCTACATTCCTGGGAGATGAAATATATATTTTTCAATATCATCAAATCAAATTGGTGAGTAAACAAACCAGGTAACTGGAAATACTTTTCCTCACGTACACCCATTCTTGATACAAAGTGAAGGCCCAAATCTCTAAAGCCAAATGAATTTCTGCGCACCAAGTACACCAGTACAAAGAGAAGTCCTTAAATCTATCAAGCTATATAAATAAGAATAGTTTTAAATTCCTTGTGAAAATATTTGAATAGCTCAAGGATATAGATCGGAGCCTTGATAGATTAACTATACCTGGTGCTCTTCAAAGAAGTCACCACTCAAGATTTCTCTCTCTTTTTTTTTTCAAATTTTTTGGCCCTTGAGTACAATTCAACTCTTCTCTTCCTTTCATTTATAGAAGTTTAAGTAGTTGAAAATTTGAAGAAACTCACTTAAAAAATTTGATTTAAAGATAGCCATAATTTTAACATGTTTTTATATAATAATAATGGATGATTTGTAGCTATCACAAAGCTATCTAATTTGAATTTTTTGCTTGATGATATTATTGTGAAAATATCCTAATAATTCTCCCCCTTGAGTTAAAAGTATACCAATTTGTATTGGTTCTTAAATAAAACTCTCTAAGCTTCCAAAGCTCCAACTGGAGGTGCATTGCTCACTTACACGAATCTTGGATGATATATGAACTTAACACCAATAAAAGACCATTGAATCACATATTTTGCGCATTTGTATTATACCATTGAAGTATTCGTCTCCATACTCTAAATGCTAGAGCTGTACACAAAAAAACTCGTGCAACATGAGTTCAATTGGCATGATCATAGTTTATCCTCGATGTGTGGGTCCCTTTGTTTTGGAACTAGAATTGCATTTATGAATTTAAGCTTTTTCTGTTTCCTCCTGTCATGGTGCTTCAACACAAATGATGAAAGTAGCAACTCCAATTAGAGTTGTGCCTTACAACACATTACCCACTATCTTCTTTTTTTTTTCTTTCCATGACAACTTGTGTACTGCAAAATTTATTTCTTCAATATACCTTGAGAACTAACATCCTACTTGATTAAGAATAAGTTGTAAACATGTCGTGTTGAATTGGAGCCACCCTTGGTTTGATCTTGAGCTTGATTTGTTAATTTATTTCAAGTTTGTTCAATTCTACAGGTTTGAGCCATTTCATTTATTATGAAAAGGGAAAAATGGTCTTGGTTCAAGTATTTTTTTGAATCAAATGATAAAGTGAATGAAAAATAATATTAAATTGCTTAATACAAAGAATTGAGATAAATTTAAATTTTTTTTGCTTCTTTGCACTGAAACTCTTGTATTCTCATTGTTATTGGCATTTTTTTATATTAGCATTTCTAAACTTGCTGGATCACGAGTTAACTGGCCGAGTTAGGATTGGCACAAGCTTGGCTTATTTGCACTTTGAGCTTAGCTCTATGCTATTTATTGAGTTGAGCTCAAGCCTGCTCATAAGTTGGCATGACTTCATCACAGTCAAATTAAGAACACTTAATGATCTCTTTTTTTTTAAGGTTTGGCACATACTCGGCTATTTTTGTTTTTCTACTCGCAATACTCATACATCTTCAACTTAATTATGTTAAAATCTAATCTTACACGCTCTCTTCTATATAAATAGAATCACGAACATATGGCTCATTAACAGAAAACAATTCCTTGTGAGGACATATAATGTTTTGTTTGGGTTGAAGGAAAGTGAATACCATGAAATGGAATCTTAATAAATTTGTTGGTTGATTATCAATTTGTAGCCTTTTTTTAGCTTTTAAACCTCCTTTTTTTAATTTTTATTTCGCTCAAATTTCCATCAAAACTTCCATCATTCAAATGCAACAATATATCATTAACAGGCTGCATGTAGGGTTCACTTATCTCTGTGTATGACTTCTATCATCAATAGAACATTACCCGAATACTCATCTAACAACACTATAGTTCTAGTGTCATTGGAATGCTTCTCCTTTCTCTTTAAAGCATTAATAATCTACATCCTTGTACCACCCTATCACGAGAATTATGTTTTTAATGATGTAATCTCTTCTTAAAAGTTCTTCCAGCAAATCACGATGCATGCATTTCACTACCCTCAAGCTTAGCATTCTTATCGATAAGAAGTGAATTCTCAACATAGCTAAGCTAATTGCGTCTTTCATATAATATGGTGTCATTTAAAAAGTTTAAAAAGTGACAGCATGAGAATAACCAAACTTGATTTTCATCATCTACTTTCTTATTAATATCTCTTAAATCCCTAAAAATGGAATAAAATTCTATAACATACGATTTAATCATGTAAAGCAATCATATGCTCTGCTACTGATAAAGCTTGATTGATAGGGTTTTATCACGAGCTACATACCCTTTGGAATTGTTTTCTCCTATAGGTTGTACATTAAACATGGCTGAATTTTCAAGGAAGGGTTTTCATCTCTCCTTTATTTAACTCAGATGTATGTCTATGCATGCTTTCAGAAGTCCCTAAACGCATTTCATATGTTCTTTTGGAAACAGTAAGACACCAATATTCTGTACACAAAGCAATAACATAGAGACCAAGCTTCACAGTAAGACACCAATATTTTGTACTCAAACTCAGAACACATTGATTGGAAACAGAGTGAAGAATCTTAAGAGGCTGGTTTCGCATGCCCAACCTGCTTGCCAATATTTATGTAATCACAAAAAAAGAAAAAAAAGCCCTTAGAACAAATTTATCAGTCTATTAAGGAGTCACACAATTGTAAAAACAAATTAGGGGAAATACTTTATTCTGCTCAAGAATACCATATCTTTCCAAAAATGAGAAGCACGATTTTGAAGCTAAGCTAAAAGAGTAAGAAGAGTTTCTAATACTTTGTAGAAATATTAAGATAATAAATATTAAGAGCTAAGTTATATAAGATCTATTCTATGATGCTCCCGGAAGGTAGTGCCACATATTTTTTTCTACGTATTTCCTCTTTTTTTTCCTACTTATTACAGTTGATTTCAACCGTAAAGCACAACCCAACGGCTTTCATTCTTTTTATATTAGTTTAAGAAAATGAAAATTTGAATCAAATTCTGGTTTAAATTTTGAGTTGAATTAAATTTCATAATAATAAAAAAAATTAGTGCTGTATTTATCCAATAACAAAGAATAACTTGTATTTAATCTAAATTCTTGTATTTTGAACTTTATTTATTTATTTTGTGGCAATCTTGATATATATTTGAGCAAATGCTTTGGAAAAGATAATTCATGTAAGCAATTTCTAACTTAGATTATGTTTTTTTAATGGATACTTGAGGTTAAGATGACAACAATTGAGATATTTATTTTAAGCCAGTATTTATTTCAAAATTTAATGACAGAATTCCTTCGAGTTATATACATTATACTGACAGCAGGCTATCTTTTATTTTTAAAGCATCTATTAAATTTATGGAAACTACTTTAGTGCTCCACCCTAGTTAGACTTGTGAATGCGTACTGCTATTATTCTATCTCGGGTAATAAAATATTCATACGATTCCAATTCTCATAATAACCATTATTTTTTGCTGTGATTGTTACTCTTATCATCCTTTTTCTGTAGTTAATTTCTGTTCTTTTGGTAATAATACAGTGTATGAGGGACCTAAGTGAAAACTATATGAAGAAGATATCAACCATTAGGGCCGTTCAAGCAAAGCAGTGGGAAGATTTTATCCAATTCAGCCAGAAAAGGCAGCAGCAGTTTAGCATGCAGAGCTCCTATGTCCAGCCCGCACATCCTGATTATGATCAGTCTTCTAGGAATCTCTCTTATGGAGGACCAACTGTATCTATGGATTCTAGGAACAGATATGCCTACCCCCCTGCTGAGAACTATCAAGTTCCTAGGCCTCATGAACCATATGGTGAGTTTCAACATCAGAGACGTGATGACTTGGGGCCCACCCATTGGCGATATTAACGCTGGTTAGTACAGAGGTGAGTCAATCTAGCCCTTTTAGTTTTCCTAATTTAATTTAATGAATGATGCACCATGGTTGTTACTATGCGAGCTCTAAAACTGTGATGAAGGAGTGGCATATATTGGATTCAACTCCTCTTAATGTCCTAAATGGAATTATTTTGCTTGCTAAGAAAGTGAGATTTCCTGGGAGAATTCTTTGAGAGTGAACCTCATGGATGCTTTTTCGCTCGCTACTTCTTGTGCACGGGTTACCTAAATCAGTTCTCCAATTTTTCAGGGTGCGGGTGCGTGGTATCCAGACCTGTTGGGAACATTGTTTCAGATGTTTTGGTTTGTAGATGAGAAAATGGATGCTCTTTAAAATGTTGCATAGAGATGTTCTTGGGTAGGTATTTGGACATATAGAAGATGGAAACATCATGAAAACTTTGTGACTTTCAATGTTGTTTTCTCCAATTTCTAAATATCAACTATTGAAAGTTTGTTCTTGTATATTTTTGTCGCTCTACTATATTTTTGCATGCAATATGCTCTTTATTTATCTTGCTGATGAGGCCCCAAAACAAGATGCTGTTTTTTCATGGCCATTAACATGCATATCACATAATTCTTCTGCATTTACATATCTCAGCTAAAATTTCATTTTTACATACATAGCACTCAAATCATTAATATCACATAAAAATAATACTATTACGACTTTTTAGAAGTGAAATATACCTTTTCTTGCATAGGTTTAAGGCATTAAGGTGCTGTTTATGTGAATATGAAATTTTAGACATGAGATAATATAAATACATAAGAATTTTGTGCTGCATATGTAAATTTCTGTTTTTTTTTATTATTATAGTTTAGGTTTCAAATTTTCTGCCAACTTGATGTTCCAATCTCCCCTTTCACAAAGTAGTCCGTATGTTCTTGTGGCCTTTTCTCTTTCTTCTGATTGATATTCTCTTGAACTGAATATAGTTGTCTTTTATTTTCACAATAATTACATACATAGCATCCGGAACATTGCTATTTACAAATCTAGCAACCATGTGATATTTTTGATCTACCGAAATGATGCATTTATTCATGCCACAATTAAACCATTGAGAATTTGCTAAAACTGAAAAAAAGGGTTGGGGGTGAATTTTGATGTTTGAGTGAGAATTTGAAAACTCGATGAAAGCGGGGGCGCTACATTTGTAAATAGCAATGTTTGGGGTGCTATGTATGTAATTTCTCCTAATTTTTTTTATTGATTTCCGCTACAAACTTTCTGCGAATGAAATAAAACTGCTGCATGCTAATATATCAACATTGTTAATCTTATTTGGATGTTCAAACTTGTAGTCTGTGTAACTGTAAAAGCTATAATCTGTTTGGGTTGTTCAGAACCTTCAATTCTTCTTTAGACTATTAAAGGGTCTGAAGTAGGATTTCAACCTTGCACCTAACTTGAACTGTTTGTCTGTTGGTGGGGAAGCCAAATATTAGGGTTTGGTCTTTTTTGTTCTAATAGGATCTAACAGTTTGAAATGTTTTTAGTCTGTTCAAACTTGTTTGTCGATTGTTTAACGTTATCATATGCATCACTTTCATCCTTTTTTTATGTATATTTTGTATTAGTTTAATTTCATGATTAACCATTTAGCTTATTGGGCAATATTAATGTCTGCTGTTAGTTATGGCAAAATTTTCCTGGCGAAGTAGCTATTAATGTTATTTAGATTATGCAAATTGCAAATAATGTTTATCTTGACAATAAATTAATCAGCTTTTATGAGCACCTAAAATTTTTGGGGGCTGTTTGGTTGAGTGAATTAGAGGTATACTGGAATTATTTTGCAGAGAAATTATTTGTTTGGTATAAGAGATTATAAACATAATGTAAAATTTGAATGAATTTGATTGGTTGAATTTAGAGTTCCGTTGATTTGATTGAATTTGAATTACATCATTATGTAAAATGCTATCAAGTTGTCGTCACTAGCCGCCTTTACCCCCTTTCTCTTGACAGCTGACTGATGCCGCCACAGCCCACTGTCATCGCAGTTTGTCGCTGCTAGCTGCCCATTGTTCACTGACTGCAGCCCTTGTAGTTTACAGCCGTCGCCCACCGTTGTAGTTTGCTGCCTCCTTCCTTATCGGCCGAAACCACCCGTCGCCGTCTGCCCCCCATCGCTGCTTCCCTTTCCCTTGGTGGCAGGCACCGCTACTATCAGCTGCCCCTCAGCCCGCTTCTGTCGGCCGCCACCTAGTCTGTCTCTGCCCTCAAATACTAAAATATAATTTAAAATATGTTATTTTCAATTTACTTCAAATTATACCTATAATTATAGTTTTCATTTATTTTAAAATGAATCAAACAATTCAAAAGTTTTCAAATACATTACATTGCATTTTATCTTCAGCAAATCAAAATGCCCCTTAATTATAATCCTTCACCGATATAACTCATATATATGATCCATTTTATTATGTCCATTATCAGAATGTGTGAACGATATTGTGGATTGTATCATGTTGTGGATCTGACACAATATGATGCGATTCATGTTGTCGACCAGTTCTCCTACCAAGGAACTAAGAAATAACCAACATGTAGCAAGTGATCATGGTTAAACTGATGTATGGGTCAATCAAATTTCTTCATATATTAAACATTAACAGGTTGAAGCCATCTTCCCAGGATTCAACACTTGGTACATTTTTTTTCAATAAAAAAAAAAAAGTAAGGAAAAATAAGGGGATTGGTGGTGTGCTCGATAAAGTCGCCTAACATGAACAGATTTAAAAAAAAGGGTGGCATAGTAAATTATGGTATCATGAGTTATAATGATGCTAAAGTGAGTATGATTTGCTCTGCTAAATCTGATGGCTATTAAGCGTCTTATACAGCAATAATAAATAAATTTTATGAGCCTATTAAATGTACGTTCAAGCTTTTGCAATATAGAGAGGAAGAGAGATTTAAGACTGGCTACCGAAAGAAGGTGAAATTATTAGGCGTGGATAAGGAGAAATTATTGCGTACGGACACCGCATGCATCTCTGCATGCGGTGTCCGATCCTGACCGTAGATCACGGTGACGTTCAGGATGTATTTCAGTTTTTTTTTTAAATTTAGGTGAGGCCCACTGAAATACATCATGACTGTAAATCACCTGATTTACGGTTAGAATTGGACACCGCATGCATCTTGCATGCGGTGTCCGCCCGTATGGAATAATTTTTCGGATCGTAAAGAATTGGACACCACATGCATCTTGCATGCGGTGTCCGTTCGTATGGAATAATTTTTCGTGGATAAGAAAGATGCGCAAGGTGTAGATTTGTGTTGTATTGGTTATATCAACCTAAGTACAAATACAACCTAAGTACAACATGTATGACACATGTGAATTCCGCACATAATCTCTCCTAAAGTAGAGGTCGGATTGAGCATAGTAATCCGACGTGGCTTTGGTCACCTCTCTCTCTCTCTCTCTCTACTTGAAAGAAAATTACATATATAGCACAAGTCCTATGTATTTACATATCTCACACCATAATTTTCATATATACGTACATAGCACTGTGGTGCTCTAAACTTATGCATGACAAGGTGCATATGACTTCTAAAAAGTGGTAATATGGCGCTATATATGTAAATATGAAAGTTTAGGTGCAAAACGTAAATTGAGAAGAATTACGTGGTATGTATATATATGTCCCTTTTTTTAATTATATAATTATATATAATCAACTATTAAATTATAAAAAACAACTTGTTTTGTATGGAACAAATACATTTGGATTCTTCATTTTATTTGTAAGCCATGTGCCATCCCAACACATAAATTAAGCATAGGTTTGAATTTAACAAATGCTTTGCACTTGAGCACACATATTTCTCTAATCCACCCAAAGCTTTTCATGTATCATATGAACACATGCGTAGCCGTTTCAGAGGGCGGCAAATTGTTTATTTGCTAAATGTGATTTCAAGGAAAGAAGAAGGTTATATAATATGAGAGGAGCGTAAAAGAAAGCGGCCCTATTGAATACTGACACGGCAATAGCACTCCCATGTTATTTGGTCTAACAAAAACAAAGAATTAAAACAACAGTTAGGGCTGTCAAAAAAGCTCGTTGTTCGCGAACAGTTCGT